ACTTGAATTACCGACCAAATATTGGCAGAAATCGACTCTCATTAATTGCATATTTTAAGAGGTTTTATTATTATTATTTTTTTAGTCATTTTCATTAAAAATAAAATCACTTTTAGTCAAAAAAAGAATCCCTTCAAACAATCCCATAATTAAATACGTGCACAATTAATTAAATTTCTTCTTATATAATGCTAAGAAATCTGGGCCAAATAAAATTAAAAAAAAAAATTAAAAAAATTTAACCAAGAAATTAAAAATGAAAAACAGTTTCATTTTTATCCTATTCTTGTACTTGGTGCATATGAGTGAATCTGGTAGTGCACTTAGCCAACATAAAATTCATATTTACAATCAACTCCCTACCAATGTTATTCCTCTACGGTTTCATTGTTTCTCCAAGGACTATTTTTCTGGCAGCGTTACAATTCTGACCGGCCAGAGTTTTAATTTGTCATTTGCGTCCAACTTGGTTCGAAACAATCGTTACGCTTGTCACTTTTCTTGCGGAGATAGGCACGCCGATTTCGATGTCTTCAATGTTGCGTGGAAGAACCTCCATCGTACGTACAATTACGTCGTCATGTCCGATGGGTTCTACGTTAACTATGATGCGAACGACCATATGAATAATTTGGAGCGAGTTGCCTCGTGGTTCTGATTTATTTTATTTTATATTATTGTTCGGATGAATTGTAATGTTTGTTATGGATTTCGTTAAATAAAATTGGGATTTTTTACCAATATATTTAAATAATTCCTTGTTAAATATAGGATATTGTATTTAAAAAAAATCAAAACTTCTCCACCTCATTTTTCTTTTTCTTTTTCTTAACTGTTTTTCTGTAAGTTTTCTAAGAATTTATTGAAATGGCTAAAAGTTGAAATAAGTTAATTATCCTGAATTTACTAAAAGTCGTCTTGAAATGAGCTCGAGCCCGATTCGTCAGAGATTTCGAGCTTGAAAAATTAGAGTTCGATCTTTTGTCGAGCCAGCTTAGCTCATTTAATACTCCCCTAGATGAGTTAAATTTTGTATTTTATTTAACTCATAACATTAAAATTATGTGCAGTGTCCATTGATTCAAACTAAACAAAATAAACTCAAGAACGTATTTTGAGTTTCGTCAAATTCAAACTCGAAAATTGTCGGAATCTTTTAACATAAATTGACTTTTGAACTTCAACAAGAGTCTATGAAATAGCGTTGAATCGTGCAGATTGCGTGATTATGGTCAACGGCTTCAATTACCGACCAAATCTTGACCAAAACATTAACTGCATATTTTTTAAGGTTTGACTTTTTTATTATTATATTTTTAATTCTTACTACTCATATTAAAACAATCCCCATAATTTAGTATTGCGATTAGCAAAATACATGCAATTAATTAATCTCAAAATTAATCCAAATTCTTCTATAAAATGCTAAGTAATTCAGCCAATTAAAATCAAATCAAATAAAAAATCAACCAACAAAAAAATAAAAATAAAAATTCAGACAGAAATGAAAACCCTAATTTCAATCATCGTACTATTCTTGAACTTGGTCAACATAACTGAATCTACTAGTATCCTCAGGAGACACAATATTCATATTTACGATGGGATCCTTGGCCAAGGTCCTGATCCTCTAGTGGTCCATTGTTACTCGAAAACCGACGATTTCGGATATCGTCGACTTGGGTTCAGTCAAAGTTTTAGTTGGTCGTTTAAGTCCAATGCGTTCCGAACAACTCTCTACGCTTGTGGTTTTACGTGGGGGTCGAAGCACAGCGCTTTCGAGGTGTTTAACGCTAAGTGGAAGAGCCGTAATACGTACAATTATCTCGTCCTTGATGATGGGTTCTACGTTAACCATAATCCCGACAATTATAGGCTCGATAAGTTCGAGCGAGTTAACTCGTGGCAATAATTTTATAAAATTTCGGTATGTATCATAATTAATTCGTAATACTCTTATGCATTTCATGAAATAAAATTGGGATTTTTTTTTTTTTTACCAATTTGATTTTATATAATATCCCTCATTAAATTATCTTGTGTCCCTGAGGTACGATCAAATTACAAGAAAACCCATCAAATTATGTATTGTCTTACGAAACAACCCTTGAGAAGTGTGGTTGTGGTTATCCAAATAAAAGGGGTATTTTCGTAATTTAATCTTAACTCAGGGGCGATGTAATGTGCACTAATTCTTATCCTTTAATTTATGTTCTATTTTCTAACTTGCCATAATATATGTATGGTGAATAGCAAACTTGAGTCCGATAATTTAGCAACTAGTCCTCTATATATATATAATTTGGAATTTTTGGCTCCATTTAAAAATAAAATAAAATAATAATTAATAAATTCCACTAATTAATAATGAAGATCAGCTTGCTCTTAATATTTGTGATATCATTCTATTTGGTTCATACAATTGAAGCTTTTCACTTCACCAAGAAATACGAAGTCGGGGTTTCGGACGATCTGCCGGCAAATTCGAATTCGTTAGTTGTTCATTGTGCGTCGAAAGACGATGATTTAGGGCGTCGTACGATAAGCCACGGCCAGAGTTTCAATTGGTCTTTTCATTCTAATTTCTTCCAATCGACTCTCTACTTTTGTCACTTTTGGTGGGGCCCGCATAAGCAGCGGGCTTTCGTAGTATACGATGACACGTGGGAGGAGCTCCATGATGTGAACAATTATGTGGTCAAGAGTGATGGATTCTATGTTAACTATGGTAATGCAGATCCTTTGATCAAGATACATTCCTGGGAATGAAATTGCTGTTAAATTAATAAAATTAAATTATAAAAAAAAAAAAAGTGTATTTGATTTTGGTATTGATATTGATATAATATTTATCTCTGCGTTATTTTAATTATTTTAATTCTATCACTTTTTACATTCATGGGAAATGGTCTAAAATTTCATTAAAACATTTCATTGAATATTTAATAATTAAATTAATAAATAAATTAGTTTATTTTATTTTACAACTTTTAGATACTAAAAAAATTAAATATAAAGAAAAAAAAATAATATTTTGATTGGGCAAATTACAACCACCCCCATGAGGTATGATCAAATTACGAAAAAACCCTTCATGTTTGGATAATTGCATCTACCACTCAACTATGAATTTTCTTACATCTCCACCCTTATGGTGTCAAATTCAACAGAATCTTCTTATGAGATTCTTCTGTGGAATGAACTCAAGTTTGTACACGTTTTGTGCAAAAATACAGTTTCTGATGCACCACAATCTGATATATACAATCCAAAAAAACATTTTATGTTCATCTTGCTTCAAAACGTGGAGCTCGAATGGGATAAAACGGGTACAAAATTGAGAATATTCTATATAATCTAGAATATTCCACTAAATTTGAAAACGTAAGGATCGATGTGTAAGAATATTTATAGTTGAGAGGTGGTTGTAATTACCCAAACAATATGGGAGTTTTCGTAATTTGACTATACCTCAGGGGTTGGTTGTAATTTACCCTATTTTGACTTATACATTACGGGCCACCAATAAAGCAGTAGCATGAATGGGCTTTCTTAAGGCCCTTTATCAAACAATACTAAAGAAAGAAAGGAGAAATACATTAAATAAAAACACATATAAAACAAAATAATAATAAATAAATTAATAAATAAAAAAAAATGTGAGGAAATAATTGATAGGATCAAATGCTCACAAGGAAAGCAAATATTGTTTATCTTATAAACATAAATAATTTCAAAATGTAATAGATTTCTGTCAACAAGCAAGCAAGCTTTTGACTTTTAAGCTGTATTAGTATTAAAATTGTTTGAAAGCAAAATAATTATGTGTGTTATGATGTTATCTTTTAAATTCATTATAATTACTTTAAAAAAAATCAATAATTGTGAAAAAAAAATTCTAATAAATCCATGAGAAGTCCACGTAAAGATTACCTTAAATAAGTTTCAATCTTTGATAAAATTAAGAAAACAAGTATTTGACAAAAAAAATAAAAAATAAATTAATAAAAAAAATTAAAAAAAAGCATGATTTGGGATGATAATAAAAAGAAATATTTGATATTGACTTTGCATATTCCATTTAAATTTGAACCAATCTCTGCTAAGTCATAACATAATTTTATTAATTTTATTCGATGATGATGAACACTGTAGGGACCATGACAAAATAAATAAAGTGGTTATTAAATATATTATTCCTTTTTATTTGATTCTTGAAAGGTCAACATCCAACCTTGAGAATAATTGTAATCAAAAGATACATATTAGTATATTACTATATCATATATATATGTGGTCCAAATAATAATTAATTTAATTTCATTAAGTATTTGACTTGTGACAATGTAAACTCGAGTAGTACTCAACTTTAATCATTATTATCTCATTCAAACACCATTAATTAATTAAGATTTGAGGTAATTAATCTTATAAATTGAGATTTGGGGTAGTTTTTCTCGATTAGTCTAAATTAGTGGTGGAAATTGGAATTGAATTTTCGATTTTCACCGATTCCAATTCGAAAAATTTCAATTTTGGACCCGTATTTTTCACTTCGAATACCAAAAATTCCGATTTCGAATTTTTTTGAATGAGAATTGGAATATATACAAGATTCCAATTTCCAATCAGATTTTGATTCTGCAAAATTTTTTTTTTTTTTCTCTCCAAAAAAATACACTCAAAATATCAATATTATTACGCATTTCAAATGTCAGGTGACTAAAAATTAGAATTTTCCAAACTCCGTCGATTCCAATCAGAAAAAAATCCAATTTTTTTCATTCCAGTTTCTAAAATCCTCAATTCCGTTTTTAACGGGAGTTGGAATATTAGATTTCGGCTTTGAAAAACTCAAAATATTTTCAAAAACACCAATTTCCGATCCGATCAGTTCGATTTTCACCCTTACTCCAATTATTGAAGTGTTGATTGATTGCAATAAACCCATTAAGAATTACATTTGGGAATGAAACAAACTCCAAGTATATAAACCTACATTAATGCAAAATACTTTGTATTATATTGCAAGGACAATATGGTAATTGTTCTCATACTTTTGAACTTCCCTACACACCAAAAAAACAGTAATTTATACTATCAAGAAAACTAGTAAATTAAACATGCACTGAAAAAAATTAATCCAAAAAAAAAAATACAAATCAATAATATAATCATAAATCTCAAACCAACAATGAATCCCAAATCATATCCATATCTAAAGAAGGAAATCTGCTCAACTGAACTGCATCAACATCTGAAATCAGATTCATCATCCCAACTTCTGAGCTGCTTTTCTTGATTTCAACAGCTTCTGCTTTTCTGCTCAAACTTTTCTCTTCAAACTTTTCTTGATCAGATGAAGATAATAATATTGCATTACCATCTTTATTAATAGTACCCTTCTTCGGGTTATTCGATACTCCTTTCGAGATAGCTTGTAGCTTCGCTTCGAGAAGCGCGACGGTGCTGTTGCTCATCGAGTTATTCGACTTGATTCGGTGCTTCATATCCGGAAAATTCAAGTGTGCGAAATCACCGCGGAGGATATAAGCCGCGGTATCGTAAGCGAAAGCCGCTTCTTCGGCCGTTTCGAAAGTTCCGAGCCAAACCCTAGTTCGGTTCCTCGGTAGTCGTATCTCGGCGACCCATTTTCCCCAGTGCCGTTGCCTCACTCCTCGGAAAAGCTTTCCCTGTGGAGAAGAAGAAGAAGATGGCAAAAGAGCCGATTTTTCGATTCTTGATCGGCTTTTCATCGGCTGAGTTTTTGTGGTGCTTAGCCAATAATCATTGAACCCTTTTGAGTTTGTGAGATTTTGATTGATTTTGAGCCAATTTGATGATGATGATGACGGTGATCCCGAAAACTCGAGTTGAGTTTGATCGAGTTGGGGCATATTTGTAAATAAAGGGTTTTGTTGGGCACTTTTTTGGATCAATATTGGATCATGTAGAAATAAGCCAAGATTTGGTGATTTGGATAAAGAAATTGGTGAGCATGGTTCATATGTTGAAGATGGGAAGGATTGATCAAGAAAACTCATCATAGGGGTATTATCGTAATTACCTCCTCCGACGTAATTACAACCAGAAGATGAAGATTCACTCTGGTAATAATAACGGGGAGGATTAATGGCGGCGTAGCCGTTAAAGCAACTAGAATGTGCGTGAAATTTCCTCAAAATAGCTTCTTTAGAAAATTCAGACAATTGAATATTCAACGTGGTATCGGAATTACAACAGACCTCTTTTGCAGTGGATTCTGAACTCGAAATCGGCCGTTTCTCCAACAAGGGCTCGGGTTTCGGGACGTAAAATATGTTGGGATGATCAAGCTCGGCCTTGTGCATGAAGGCTTCCATTTTAGGAAATATGTTTTCCATATGTTTGTGTGAATTTAGATGAGAGATGAAGCAAAGTGCAAGAAAATTGATACAAAATTGTGGGCACAATTGTATATATACTAAAAAATACTTTGCCTCTAGGTCTTATATTTGTGTCAATAAAGTTCTAAAGGGGGCTTAATAATAAATTAATTTTATCTTAAAAAAATAATATTTTTGGCCCAAATAATTAATTAAGAAGCTTTAATCAAATAAAATTCGTGCCTTCCATTCTCATGGTTGAAGAGCCAATGAAATTTGTACAGGTGTCCTCTTGTCTTTCCTGGGTTTTGGGATTTATTGAGATGGGTGTATATTCTTCCATGATAGTGACAGCAACCACACCTCAAACTCTAGATTTACTTTATTGTCTTAATTTTAGGTTTTTTTTTTTTTTTTCTTTTTTTTTAATTAATTTATCATGTGATTTATTCAATTAGCCACATGATTTTAGGGGAAATTACACCCAACCCCTGAGATAATAATGTCAAATTGCGAAAAACTCCCTTCTTTTTGAATAATTACAATTGTCCCTAAATTGTGTGTTTTTCTATAAAATACTCATCATCCAGTATGTAAATTTGACACATTACATAATTGAGGGGTGATTGTAATTACCCAAACATGAAGGGTTTTTCCATAATCTGACATTATCGTAAGGGGTGGACGTAATTTGGCCGCGAAAAGTAATATACTACTCTCCCAAACTAACTTTGTTAAGGGGGCTTGATTATAATATTTTTTTTCTTTTTTAAAATGTTAATTAAAATTGTGGGCCATCAAATGATTGGCTCTAATTACACGTATTAGGAGAAAACGACACATATAATATACTGAATTAAGAGACATAATTAGATTTGTTAATATTATCATCAACGTCATTATGAACCAACAAAAGTGCCTGTAAAAAAAAAATTTAAAATATAGTTTTTTTTCTTTATTTATTGTACTAAAAGAATTATTAATTAGATCAAAGTGTTGAAAGAGGAATTTAAAATTTGGCCTTTTCTTCTGGCATCTCTCTACGTGTCCTTTGAGATGTGCTTAGGGCCACTTTACCAACTCATAACATAATTAAATTAGTTAATTGCATAATACCCTTTGTGTTTTTTTGAATTACTAAACGAGTCCTCGTATATTTTTAATGCATTAATTTTGTTATGTATTGTGCTTTTTAGCTCAGAATCACTCAATTAATGAGTTTTTACTTTTAGGGGTCTGTTTGTCTTATATTTTTCAATTATAGTGAAATTTTGTTAATAAAAATAACACGAGGGTCTTTTTAGCAATTAAGAAAAATAGAGGGGTGTCTAATGCAATAAACTCAAAATTAAATAGAAAATTAAAAGGGTCAGAAAGTTAAATGGGTCCATATGGAGAAAACCTTTCTCCACCTCTCCAAATTTATGCCTCAAATGATTAGCAAGCATCGTTTCCTTTAGGGTTTCATTTGGATTCAAAGTTTAGAAAATGAATATTTCAATTTCGTAACAACGAATTGAAAAAGGTTTATCGTTAATTTAACGAAATATTAACTTATAGAATTAAAAGTTTAGCACGTTGTGCACTGGGTAGATAAACCTACACTCTCATGTAATAACTTGTAAATCATACGAGAGACGTAAATCACACTAAGTTAAATATATTGTGGGAAACTCGACCTTGCCACTGGCAAATAAATTCGAACCTGAGTCAATTAACGCGGGTTCACTTGCTCCACCGCAGTCCGATCTTACTTATTCTTTGATACAAATGCAATTATATTTTCTTTTTACCTTCTTAAGCTAGTCATCAAAATTGAAATAGGTTATATTCACTTTCAAGATCTAGAATGCATTGCCCTCCAAGGGGGATGAATAAGCATCTTTACTAAAAATATTTTAGGGACATCTCTCTCTCTCTCTCTCTAAATATATATTCCTTCCTTTAATAGGAGAAGACAACAAATCGTCTATCACCTTTACTAATTAATTGCTATAATTATTAACAAATATCAGCTGAAAAAACTATGGATTTTTTCATTTAAAAACTAACATACATTAGATATATTTCAAAAAATAAAATAAACATTGGAGGAGTTAATTATAGTAATTTATAAATCCAGATATCTAGATATTTTTCAAATTACTAATTACTATAGATCTCTTGTGGTGTGTGTGTGTGTGTGTGTGTGTGTGTGTGTGTGTGTATACATTCAACTTTAATTGAGAGGCCTCAATTTTGAAGAAATATAAATATAGAGAAGTATAGAGATTCCCATCACAATCCCTTTGTTCACTTTTATCAGTTGAAGTTATTCTAAAAAGAGTACCCAAAGTCTTGTATAATATAATGGTTCTTCAAATTGTTTATATATATATATATATATATATATATATATATTATTGAAAATTAGCAGCAGCCATGAAGCCCCAAAACAAGTTGTTCAAAATCACTTTTTGCCTTTATTTTTTCCTTTCAATCCTATCACTATATACATATATACCACTTTATTTATTCGTGCCTCATTTTTTGACCTTAAGGATATGCAACTAGACAATATATTAATAATGTTAATTATAAGAATATGGTAAATTACGAGCACCCCTGAGTCAATGTCAAATTACGAAAAAACTCTCCTTGTTTGGATAATTATAATTATTCATCAACTATGTATTGTTGGTATCAAATTTACCTACTGAATGATGAATTTTTTGTAAGAAAATATATAGTTGAGGGGGCTAATTGTAATTGCCCAAACATGAGGGTTTTTTTCGTAATTTGACCTTATATCATGGTGTGGCCGTAATTTGGCCAATTTTTTTTTATATGTTTCACACACACATACCTTGCACTATGTGTGAGAACTGAATAAAAGAATATGATGAAATAATGCAGCAAGTCCAAAGTGTACAAAATGACAATGAGGCTGCACGAATATTCTGCATTTATATTTTTATAGTGCTTATTTTGCTTTTTATTTTTATTTTTTCCTCTCAAAATTAAATTCTCAAACATGAAGATAAGAACTTTGGCCACCTCCTTCACCAATCTGAACACTAAAATTCTTTACTTCTATGATTAATTAGCCTCACAATTTAAATGTATTTAATTTTTAATATTAATAATCCATTCCTCTTGCCAAAAAAAATAAACAATATTTAGTCTATATTTTAATTTAATTTTATAGTCTATATGCATTTTTTTTGCAGCATTCTTTCAATATATAATTAACCTAGTTACTCTCAGCCTAATTAAACTACTAAATTGTAAATAAATACATAAATTTTCTTCAATGGGTCCCACTAAAAGTTAAGGATAAGAGAAAAAAAATAAGCTAATGAAAAAAATAAAATAAAAAGATAATTGAAAAGTTAAAAATGCATCTCCATAGAATCATTCTCCCCCTAAATTATTCTTACTTTTATTGCACACCACTTACTCTTTGCTTTCTAGCACAAAAACCATGTTCACAATTTTCATTTTGACAAGGTATAGAATCTAAACTTTATATTTGTGATAAAAAGAATATAAAAAAAATGCACATCAATTTATAAATCAATGGAAACAAATAAGTTTTAGGAAAGGAATAATTTGAATGATTAATTTATGGGCAAATCATGAAAATACCTTTTTTGTTTGGAAAATTACCAAAAAACCCCTTGAGTTTGACCGTGTATTTTAACAGAAGTTGTCTCATTTTACCCTTAAATAATACTAATGTACATCGAAACCTTACAATGTATGAATATTAACCGTTACAATTAACCACCTCAAACAGTAACAAATAGCTTAAGTAAATAATATGCTTACAATGAAATCTGAGGGTAATTCGGTCCGTAAATAGTATTGTTGGAAGGATATTATATGGAATGATCAAAGAGATTTCGTCAAGATTAACACCATAAAGAGGACTATGTGAGACACAAACATACCTCATGGTGTTTTCCGTAAGCAAACATGAGGGGTATTTTCGTAATTAGGTTTCAGATAAGAGTGTTTCTAGTAATTAAATCAAGGACCTCAAAGAACATATAGAATACACACACTCTAAACATGTAATACAATATTAATCTACTTCATAAACAATGTTTTCACTTGAATTAACTAGTTCAAGTGGATGCATAAATCTATTAATTATCTATTATTAATCAAAAAGAATGGATTAGTTGAGAACCTCCTTAATTGAATTTAAATTTTTATAATTGCAATATTTATTATATTGCAATATATACATATACATATACGTGTATATAAATATATAATATACTTAGATAACCAGCAAACTGATGTTGGTAAAGATTGATTAAAAAAGTTTATCATGTCCTGCAAAAGCTAAGTTGTAATTTGCCCCCATCATGTTTTCCACCAATAACGTAACATAAATCAAAATTATTAATTATGATTATCATATATATACTAATAGTGCACTTTTTATTGTTAATTTATTAATTAATCAAGATTATCGTCTAATTAATATTATCTTTATAAGTAAAAACAAAACTAATGACATTGAGTTATGATATATCGCCAAGGTTCAAGACAAAAGTTAGTTGCATGTGGAAAAAGATTAATGCTAATATATTAAATTGATGTTCCCTTTTATTTTATTTATTATTTTATTTATTTATTTAAAATAAAATAGTTGCAGTTCCACGCGTCGTAAAACATTCATTAATCGCTGGATCGCCAGCAATAATTAGATTTATAATTATAGAAAAAAATAAAAAATTAGAGTCAAACAATATATATTTTATATAGTTTTCATGAATGTATAAATATATTTATAGAAGTTATAGATGGCTAGCTGGATATTCTTAGCCAAATTCATTCTCTTTTGACACACATATTTATCAATTATTACTAGATTTTTTTAATTAATTCAACCATGCTTTGTCCGAATGATAATGTTTAGTTCGATCTAGCGTTTGGAGTAAATAAGACTGTGTTAATTAGTTAACCCAGGTTCGAATTCATTTGCTAACGGTTGCTGGATCGAGCTCGTCAAACATGGTTAACCTAGTATGGTTTACATCTCTCGTATGTTTTGCAAGTTATTGGGTTAATTACATTTTTCATCCCTCAAGTTTGCACCGATTCCATATTTGGTCCTCATGTTCAAAAAAACACATTTGGTCCCTTAATTCCAATAATTTAACTATTTTGGTCATCTCCGTCAATTTACAGTTAGTCTGTTAATTAAGGAAGTGATCGATGGACACACACTTGATTCCGTTAGTTTTAACGGGAAGTTGACGGAAATGACTGAAAGTGTTGAATTTTCAAAACGTAAGGGACCAAATGTGTTTTTATGAATATAAAGGACCAATATGACACCGATGCAAACTTGAGGGACAAAATTTGTATCTTTTCCCGCAAGTTATTATACGAGAGTGTAAGTTTATCCAATATACTTATATGGACCGGCTGCGGGTTCTCCGTGCTGTGAGAATAGCATATTGGCATATGACCCGAGTTCGAATCCATTTATCGAATATTTGTTTTAGGGTAACTTACGTCTCTCGTAATATGGAAAACTAATTATACAAAGTACACATATATAACTAAGTGCAAATTCATTAATAACTAGTATAGTATATATTTGATGGAGAAGTCATCCTTAACAACTCCATTAGGGAAGGTTTTCTTATAAATAAAATCCATTTAATATATTATTTTTTATGTATGATGTCTAATTACACTTTGAAGTCGTCCCCATGCTAATGGTCATGAAATTAGACATGATTAAATTAAATATTAGTTTGAATGAAGGTTGACTTCACATCCATTAAGAGAATGTAACCCTAGAACTATATTTATTCACAAATGTCATTTAAATTTTATTGGTTATGTTTCAACTTTAAATGCAATTTTGATTATTTTTTGATCGAATTCCGCAAAACTCAAAGCAACGAACTAGTAGCCATTTGAGTTGACTTTTCAATCCAATTTGAATACCCTAAATTAAACGCCGGACGAGAGAGTTATGCATGAATGAAAACATTTTGTGGCGAAAATTTCCATATTATTAACCTTACAAATGTAGAAGTCAATGCCCCCGATGTCCCGAGATTTCGTGAGGGGTAAAATAGTCATTTGCTTAATAGGAAAGCGTGTTTGTCTAAACAAATTCAACCATTCCAATTGTGTACACAAAATCCAAACCATCTTCAATCAATTTCTCAATATTGGTGCAACCTCAAAGGAAAAAAAAAAAAAAAAAAAAAAAAAAAGCAACGCAACAACTAAATAATTCACCCGATACACAAATCCAAACCCAGAATCAAGGTGAAATGACGGTTTTGCCCTTACGTGCGATGCATGCGATGGTTAATCTATCAGCAGTAGGTCTTAGTCGTGGAATTCAAATTTTCAAAATTGGCCACAACGAAACGATTATGTTTATGCTCACATTTCAGTACAACATGCCGTTAAGCTAATCACTGAAAAAACTAACAAATCGAAGTCTTTTCAAAGAAATGATTTAGACGAACGACTATAGGCCTAGTAGTAACAGTCACCCGAAAAATGGTTCGACCCTTGAAAAAGAAAGGATAATTACGAAAGTTACCCTTGGGCTTTACCTAATAATTACGAGGAAAAAATAATCTATTTACGCTTGAAAAATTACGACTTCAAGGCATTACGAATTACCCACTCGACAAAATTATTAGCAAGGACAGTGATTATTACCCACTCGATAAAATTACCACTTTCACATGTCTATTATTGCAATTCGGCACTTACACTTACACTTTGACTGGAAAAAACACCCGAAAGAAATAAAAAAAAAAAAACATATAGAACTGGTCGTTTAATGTTACACAACGAAGTTATAAAAAGGATGAAATCACGAGTTTTAAATTACGAAACGGATCAAAAACATAAACGGGTTTCTATTTCTTGGTGCTATTACCTCCAGCGTCGCTTCCACCTGCTGCCTGTGCTGCCTTCTTTGCTGTCTTTTCTTGAAGTGCCTTTGCATCCCTGCGTCGTCCAAAATTAAATTAAAACGTTATCACATTTTTCAAATTATTAAATAAAACGGACCCTTTATACTTTTTATTCATAAAACGAGTTAAATGGCTTGTAAAAGATCTAGACGATGACGAATAAAAATCGCATCTTGGGAATTTTCTGGGAAGCAAACGGATCAAACTGACAAATTTAACCGTCTTTAGTTTCTGAATCCATCGTTACTGAATTAGTTCTTACATAAATAAATAAAACAGACCCTTTATACTCTTTATTCATAAAACGAGTTAAATGGCTCGTAAGATATCTAGACGATGACGAATAAAAATCGCATCTTGGGAATTTTCTGCGAAGCCAACGCATCAAACTGACAAATTTAACCGTCTCTAATTTCTGAATCCATCGTTACTGAATAAGTTAGAACATAAATAAATCGATATACCCTATATCAAACGGTTCGAAGAATTACTTGGCTACTTGCATAGTCAATAGAGAAAAATCCGAAGAAATTGTGAACTTTAGCAACAAAAAAGAAAATGAAATAACGGATTGCAATTTACAAGTGAAGCAGTGCCTAATCGGAAGATAGATCTTGATGCAGAAGACAAACTATTAGGATGACGAGACTAAAGGAAAAACAATGTGTGTCCCTCCGATTTATGTGCTTTAGAAATATCTTCTGTTACCGAATTTGTTCGACGATTATAAGTAATGTCGATTTACTGATATAAATTAATCAATGAAAAATAAGCTAGTTTGAAAATTTCCCAGGAATTTATGCAGCCCTCATCCTTTTCGTAAATTATTATCTCATATTAGTTCTGTAAATTAACGCCTCGTTTGGTTGGCAAGATAAAGTTAGCCAAGATAAGATTAGATAATACAATCAAAACACAATTATTTTATCGGTTCGCAATATAAGACACGATAACATAATATTTGCGGGTCGACCCGGCAAGTTCTTGATGATACCAAACATCAAACAAAGTTCAAATATTTAGTTAATAATGGCTAATTTCCCCAACCAAACAAGGCCTAAAAGCAACTAAGTAAATCCAGATCACTGGGACAACAAACAATATCAATAAAAACTGGATCTTGAAAAATATTGAAAAAAAATCAAAATTAAAAAGAAAACGGACGTTACCTTTCACGGCGCTGCTCAGGGGTCAAGCCATCATCTTTACCCTTTCCTTTGCCGGTGGTGCGAGCGTTAGCCCTTTCTCTGTCACGGTCTCTTTGACTTCCACGTTTCTTCCCGTTAAGAAATACATACAATACATACATACATACATACATACATATATACACACACAGCACAACACAGAGCAAGAAAAAACACACATACACGCACTAAATTTTCAATTGGGTTCAACGGGAAGCAATTAATTTCACAAAGAAAAGATAAAATCAAACATGGGTTTTCTACATAATCAACAAAAAATTGAAGATCTGAAAAATAAAAAATAAATATTCAAACTAATTACGCAGAAACAAAAAAATAAAAAATAAAATAGTAACGCAAGGATATGAGTCATGGTTGAACGACGACGGAGGAGAGAATCGAAGAAGAAATCTGCGGAGGGGCGACTCTTTGATATGATGTATTTTGATATATACACACACACATATATATATATATATATATATATATATATATATATATATATATATATATATATATATATGTATATATAAGCCTAATAATCAGAGTTGACTTTTAGGAATTAAATTGTGAATAAATTGGAGTTTACCCCCTATATTCTCGTTGAGTAGTAGTTTACCCCCTAATATTTTACTAGCTTGTGGTACATGCCTTTCTTTTCTTTTTCTTTTTTTCTTTTTACCTTTTTTTTTTTTTTTTTTTTTTTATATTGAATGTTGTCTTGCAATACAACAATTATAACAGATATACATTTAGGGGTGGAAATTGGAATGAAATTTTCCGATTTTTGATGATTTTGATCTAAAAATTTTTGATATTGGAACAATATTTTTCAATCTGGATTATGAAATTCCGACTTCCGATTTTTCCAAAATAATAATAAAAGAGAGAATTTGAGAAGAAGGTGTAAAAATTATGTTATGATTCCTAACCCTAATAGGGGTTCATACATTTGTTTTTCCAGAGAATTATATATGACTATTTCTGAATTTAGAAGCTCTTTATTCGACCACAATTTACATCGATTAGCTAATCACCGATCTTAGTTTATACAAATTCAATTCCTTATTTATCTTATGAAAATTATTCTGCAACAACTATTTACGAGCTCGCCACCTACCACCTATTATTCCTTCTTATGCTTTTGAGTCTTCTTACATCAAACTCTTTGTTACATCTTATTTTTTGCCATTCATCGTACTTCGGCCTAATGGACTTAGTTCTTATCGTTCGTTGGACCTTGGCCCAATAATTTTGGGTAGGGGGAGGGTCCGGCCCAATGTTACTGAAAGAAAAAAGGGAGGTGATATTCGCGGTAGCAAAATTACGAATGTCGTTTTAAAAAATCCACTCTCTATCTTTCTTTCTCTCTCTACAATTTTAGCTTTTATATTAGAAATCATTCCAAAACTCATGTTATTGTAGCCATTTGCAAAAAAAAATTAGTGCATCGAATGAGGATCGAGATACGGAATCCAATGAGGTAAAATTTGTTCGTTTTTGTTCTTTAAATTGTGAAAACGCGACCCACGACCAATTTGGACGTCGAAAAATACGATTCACGCCCAAACTAGGCGCAAAAAACTCGATTCACGCCCGGTTTGGGCGCGGAAAAGCACTTCCGGCGCCCGGTTTGGGCGCCCAACACAGCTATCCGCGCCCGGTTTGGGCGCGCGTGCTGAATGAGTTCAAATAAAAAAAAAATAAAAAAACCATATATTTGTGCTACTATAAGGACTCGAACACGAGCTCCTTTTGTTGAAGTTTTAACTTACCTAACCAGCTAGGCAACAGTCAATTTAGTTATAAATTCTTATTTAACAATAATTAGCCATTTCATTATACTGGGGAAAAAATAAACAAATACGCGCTGTTACCATGACTCGAACACGGGTGTATTGGGTAATAGACAAAACGCCTGACCAACTAGGCTACAGCGAGTTTGTTAGCTAGTACATATTTAAGTATATTCATTCAATTCCGTTATACTGGGCAAAAAAAAAAAAATGAACCGGACGACCGGTCCAGAACCGGCGTCCGGACCGAACGCCCGAAGTAATTTTCCACGCCCAAAATGGGCGATTTTCATGGGATTTTCACATGATTAACCACAAATTCAATATATATAACTACTTTAGATGATTAATTACGTTTCAAATTGACGAGATTTTTAGATTTGGGATGATTTGTGAGAGAGGTAGAAGATTTTTGTGAATTTTGGGGGGTTTTGGGGATTTTGGGGTTTGGGTAGATTTGAGGATTTTTAGAGAGAGAAAGAGAAGACTATTGTGAACGACGTTCGTAATTTTGCTGCCGCGTAAATCATTTCAGAAGAAAAAAACATCAAATACTAATAGAATAAACTATAAAATTCATTTTGCACCCCCTATACTATACGAAATATATCATTTAGTCCCTGATTTATAGAAAACATTAAACAAATCTGATATTCTTTTTCAAAATGGAATTTAGTACTGTAATTAGGACAAAAATATAATGTCAGCAGCACTAACCAGACAATGAACTCCCTCGGAGTTCGAGCATATGTACAAAAAGTACCAGAAAACATTAATTCCAAAACATTAAAATAATTAATAAAAAAGAAATGAAGAAATTCGAAAAGAAGAAGAAGAATCGGCAAAACCCAAAAAAAGCAAAAGAGCCACATTCAATTCAAACCCAACAAAAAAGGAAAAAAAGAAAAAGAGGAGAATTTTGATTCTTGTTTCTCTCTCTAGACACACTCTCAACTCAACAGCTCATTTCACTTTCTCTCTCTAGCTTTTTCTACCAGCTTCAGCTATGGCAGCTGCAGCGGTGTTCAAAGTGGTGGGGCTGCTGATCTTGGTATACACCGCCGCCACCTTCTCCGCCTCCGGCACGGCGGCAGCCACCTGGTGTGTGGCGAGGAGTGACGCCAGCGAACAGGCTCTGCAGACGGCGCTGGACTACGCATGTGGAGCCGGCGCCGATTGTGCGCCGATTCAGTCATCTGGGCTTTGCTATCTGCCAAACACGGTGCAAGCCCACGCTTCTTACGCCTTCAACAGCTATTATCAGCGCAAGGCCAACGCCCCTGACTCTTGCTCCTTCGCCGGCACTTCCGCCATTGCTAAAACTGATCCAAGTCTCTCTCTCTCTCTCTCTCTCTCTCTCTCTCTCTCTCTCTCTCTCTCTCTCTCTCTCTCTCTCTCTCAAACACACACACACACACACAGAGCCAAAGATTTGATTTTTATGTGGATTTATCATTTGTGTATTTGCATGTTTCATTTGGCACCTGGATTTCTATGTGGATTAATCATTTATCCCTCTCTCTCTCTCACACACACACACACACAGTGGCACACGGAATTAAGTTTCTTGATCTTGATTATGTATCTGCATGCTTCATTTGGCACTATGTATTATTGTATGCCTGTGACGAATTCAAGATATTTTAGTCGAGCGTGTTCGGAAATTTTTAGCGATCGATCGATGCGATGCTATTTCGTAAATCGTAGCTGACAATATATAACGAGAAGACTCCGATACTTTCAAAGTGAAATAGTGATACTGTGTTTTTTTACCCAAGATTTTTATATGAATTTTAAAAAAACAAAAAAAAGTTTGAAAGAAAGATTGCGTTTTTACAATAAAAGAAATTCTCGATTTTCTGAATAATCGATGTTTCCCATGTTTCCAGGCTACGGATCTTGCGTTTATCCGTCATCTCCAAGGTAAATTACTTTCTCCCTTTGCCCTGGTTTTCATTTTACCGAAACTGTCCTTTTCGTTGCGTTTTTTTTTCTCTCTCCGAAAAATGCTCGATCGATTGTTGGTTGGTTGTACCATGATGTTTTTATCGATGAACAGGACAGTGACCTTCCGGGGATTTTTTTATAACGAGCACTACTCATATTATGTCGTGAGGATAGTGAAATATTTGGTTCTTGAACTTCTCTTTAGGATATACAACATGTGGCTGTAATAGCTCTTTGATGAAACATGCATTTCGTTTCGTTTTCCGTGAATAAACGCCCCTCGAAATTAGTTCGAGATGGCTCTGTCTTATGGGATTTTATTTCCAACTTTTATGAAATTAATTCGAGGTTGTCTCGTCTGGTTTTCGGACCGCTCGATAAATTACCGCGTTATCAACTAATCAACACTAAATGATCAACTATTCACAAACTTCTCGACTAATACTATGCTATCAACTAATCGTAATGCTTGATTACTAGACCTTGCGTATCGTCAAATTAAAATTAAAAGACAAAATACTTCTTGAATATCAATTCAAGAATCCCTTCTTAGTTATATCTTCGGAATTGCAACAAAACGAGAGATAGCTAACCAACTTAGGTCTCGTTTGGTTGGGGAGATTGGCCACGATTAACTAAATAATTGGATTTTGTTTGACGGTTGGTTTCATTAGATTATTTAATCTTATCTTGGCAACCAAACGAGGCCGTAGGAGATACTTCATTGACTAAATTAGTTTTATTGACTACATCGATAGTTACTCATTTCCTAATTGAGGTGCCGCTAGTGCCGGTTTTTAGTAGTCTTAGTTTCATTTCAATTTGTATTTTCTTATGTCAATACGATACAATATTTGAGGTTCAAATCCCAAAATCACGGTCCGTTGGTTGCAATTCCGTATACATTTGCTTTTTAGGCTTAAGTCGAGGCCTTTACATTGAGCAACTTTGATTTTAGTCATGTAATCCCAAATCACCAACTAAACATGCCACGTATTGCTTTTCGATAGCGATAAAGCAACTCAATTCTTGTCGCTTCTAATGAATTAACGTGCATTGGCATTTTTTTGCAACATTGTTCGGCTAATGCTTTCTATACATGGCGTGATGGAGGCCGATTTTGCTCGGGATAATTTTGCTTCGAATTATTAAATGTTTATTGCATGTATGGTAAAATAACTTGTGATAATGATCCTCTGAACTAATTTTCATTTGCTGAATAAATCGATCTTTTTTAATGTGTCGTTGCCTGTCGTTTATTTATTTATTCTTCCACGATGGCTTTTGATTGCAGTTTTCTGATTGTATTTCGATACATCAACGATTGTTTTACGTGGAGATTTCCGCGATTTGTTTTTGAGTCGTGTTTATATTGTTTCCCTAGATTTTTTTCGTTTTAAATTTATATTGTTTCCAAGAAATTTACAACGGTATTAATTTATTTGTTTTGTGCAATTCTGCAGTACCGCAGGAGGGGCAGTAGCACCAGGAGGTACGGCTGCAACCGGAGGTGCATCAACACCGCTTACAACCCAACCGCCGCCACCAGGAACCACCACCACCACCGCCGCACCTCTGTTCGGAAGTGGTGGTGGAGCGGTGATCCCGGATTCTCCCAAACCAAACAGTTCCCAAAACTCGTGTCCGAATACAATCTTGTCGTCTCCTATGACTATGTTGCTCATTTTCTTGTTCATCTTTAAAATTTTGTAGTTCAGCAAAAAGAACAAGAATATATAGAGGCTAAATTAGCCCAATTTTGTGTTAGCTTTCTTTTGATTAATCTCCTTCTTGTGTTAATATTACACAATGCAGGAACTACCCTCTTAAAGATTCATCGATTTTTATTAGGAAAAAACACGCCCGATAATAAATGCCGTCTCTCTCTTCTTCATCAGATCCACAAGTTCTTGAAAATGCCAAGTAGAAATCACCCCATCTAAAAGGAAACCTTGAGATTCAAAGAGATAAATCGTATAAAAATGTTGAAAGTTTTGTTCCAAAAAAAAACAAAGAACGAAAAATGATCGACAATCTTGTGATTTTTACTATTTTCCAGCTGCCAAACGACAATACCCTGTTTTTCATTTACATCGTTACGGACAATCAGACAATATGTACATCAAACTAGCGAAATATCGGGTTTCGTTGAATCTCAAAATTTCTTCTTTTTTTTTTATAACCTAATTCAGTCACTAGAAACTGAGGAAGGTACATTTTGCAAATTTTGTGCTCCCCAAAATTCAATTACCTCACTTTGAACAGGACATCTCTCAGGCTGCCTAACAACGTAAATCTGATCTCCGATTCTATTGTACATGTCCTGATTTCGATGCCATGTCCACAGAGCATGTGTCTCATTCTTCACCTGCAAAATAATTCGCAAAAAAAAAACGAGACTTAAGTTGTGTGTAATACGATCCAAATCCAAAGTACACGAATAAAATACTCCGAGTGCATAACACTGAAACATCACATCATCGATCCTATTAAGGCATTTTGAGAATATAAATATTAAATAATTAAAAAAAGAAAAAGTACCTCGAGGATGCCATGGCCAAAGCTGGATTCCCTGTAAGCACTATAATCAGGTTGTTGGTCCCAACAGAATTTACCAGAAGCGCGACCCGCTGTGAAATTGAAAGCGCAGAAACCGCCCATAATTGCATCTGGTGTGGTCGACGGCTCTGGACAGCTGTCAGGATCATCTGCATGCGAAATCGCCATCTTTTCTCTATTTCCACCATCGCCAATTGCTATGTAAACGGGCCCACATGGGTCGACGCTGTAGTTATACACTCTGTTTGACCTTTCGTATGCATGTACCTGAATATATATATATTTTTTTCGCAATTGTCATTTTTGTTCTATTGCATTGGACACTAAAAAAAAAGATTCAGAAAACGGGTGCAAGGATAATTCCAAAAAATTCGGATATCTAAACGAAAAATAATGTTCCAAAATCAGAAAAAATCAGATCGGATTCGACGAAAATTGAAAATTCCATTCAAATTTCCACCCCTCGTAGCACCTCACCGTAGATTTGCACACAATATACATGTGGATATGTGTAAAACGCGTAGCAAATATATCTATATACAAGTGTATAGTAAGATATTACCAGGTGAATTTCACCGGGTATAAAGCGAACTTTGAGCCCAAAATTTCAGAGAAATTCCAATTAAAGAAACACTTACATGCCCGTTGAAGACTATGTCAACACGATATTGGTACAGCAAATCTTCCATAGCTACCTTCATACACTCCGATTCTCTGTAATGTGCTTTGTACGTGGTGTACCACGGGGGATGCCACGTGGCGACTAACCACGGTGTAACTTCTCTATCAACATTAGCTAAATCCTTTTCCAACCATTTATACTGATCATCTGTAGGGAACAAGAATTAAGTGAATAACGTTATTCGATTCATAGGTAAAATAACTAATAACTGATTTTTTTTACCTGATCTGTTATACGCAACATATCCACCGAGTACTATAAAATGTATCCCACCCGCATTAAACGAATAGTAGAATTTGGAAGAAGATCCACTTTCTTTAGATGGGAATGCAAATCGAGAACTGTAGGACACAAAAGTCTTGTTTTCAGCTTGTTCTTCGAGCTCGTGGTTCCCTTGCACCATCATTATCGGAACTTTCGATATCAGTGGCTGCATAAATCTGAAAGAAAAAAATAATTAAAAAAAAAAAACAAAGGTAAAAAAAAATGATTAAAAATGGAGGGATAGTTTTCACTAGAGATTTTTAACCTGCCCCAATAATCCCAGCGAGGCTGAAAAGTCTCGTGTATAGGAGTATCCGAAAACGAGCAAGAATAGCAATCCGAACCAGTTCCATTAGTGAGATATAAGTTAGCATAGCAAACATCTCCAACCAATAGAATTAAATCGGGCTTGTTCCTTTTCAAATGTTCGATTGTTGAACTTGAGTTGTACGTAAGACCTAAATCTCCGATAACAGCTATTCTACCCGGATAGCTTTTCGGACTAGAAATCGGCATTGTCTTGAAATAGTATATATCACTCATCGCCTGAACTGAAGGATCTCCACATCTATAGTAGTACAGTGTACTTGGCTCTAATCCTGCAAATCAAGAAACATACTCAACCTGTCTCAACGAATAGTAAACATGTACAAGAATTTTTGTAAGAAAAAACGAGGATACAGAATTAGCGTACCCATAAGACGAACATGGTGGATAATCCCAGAAGTGTAATTTTGGAGGCCTTCGAAAGGATAAAGCTGACTGTACACGAGCGATTCTCCGTTTGCTTTGTGGGTCATAGGGAACCTTAACTTTCCGTAGTGAACTACACTAGCAACGGTTTTCGGGTTCAACGGCTTTACGTTTTCTCCGATTTGAAATTCCCCTGTTTATATTAACATTAGCATCATCAAAAAAATTTACTACCATCAAACGAACATCAGATTAAAATTAAAGCATACCCCATTTCACCACCAAATAAGCACCAAAAAATTGAAAAAAAAAATTCAAGAGATACGAACCTGTAATCCAGGAAATCCAGACAGAATCAAAAGTGGAAGAAAGCGAGACAGAGATTTGTTCGGGATGAAACCCTAGAACGGTCCTTTTAACCCTAGGATCACTATCAGGCAAATCAATTGCATTTCCCCTGAAACTCTTATCCAACGGCACAGTGACGGGATCGAACGGCTCGTCTAGGGTTGTCGGAATTTCGCCGCGAATTTGAAATAAATTCAGAGTAGCGAAAATCAACACCGCGTACGCGGCCACTTTCCCAAAGCGCAGCCCCATTTTCATTTCTTCTTATTATTACCAGCTAATAAAATCCATACATACAGAAATACTATACGATGCAAATTTATAGCTTTTAAGCTGAAATCGGCAAAAGCAAAAGCGGAAAAAGCAAACCTTTTGATCGATAAAGGAGGGAAAATTGAGGGATGGAGGGGGTGGGGGGTGAAGTAAGCGGCGAGCAATTGGAGAAAAGGGGGTCACATTATACACGCGTATACATACATATATAAGCTGTACGTATAGGATATTACATGTGTATGTATATGAGAAGTTGGAAAAGGAGGCAGAAATTGGGGGTGGTGAGCACTGGGGAACAAGACGAAACGGTTATGTCAGTTGCAGAGAAAGTATGGGAAAGAGGAACCCATCGTTTTCTGTATAACCATTTGCCCTTTTTTATTTTATTTTTATTTCTTTTTATGAGGAAAAAATTGAAATTTTGGGGATTAGAACTGAAAAAACATGTTCCCGAAATTTGAAAAAAAATCGAATATGAAATGGCGAAATTTTAAAGGGTAAAATTCATTTTGCAATCTTGGTTACTATGCAAAATGTATCATTTACCCCATCTGAAGTATAAAAAGCATCAAACACTTTCTGCCGTTAGTTTTTTTTTTCTAATTCCGTTAGTCAAATTCTTTGAACGACTATTGCAATCAAATGTTGGCTTTTCTTTTTTTTTTTTTTTAACGAAAATACCCCAAAAAGTTCTATTAGGATGCTTCGTTTTGACAAATGTTTGCCGGATTTTTCACCTTTTTCAGGCCTTTTTATTACTTTATTCAATCATTTTTTTTAACATTTTCAGCCATTTTTTTAATAAAAAAGCTGAATAGTCGAATAAATAAGAATGAAGCTTTGCAGATTATGAATGTAAAACCCACAAAAAGGAAAACTAAAAGCCCTGAAATCTAAAAAAAGAAAACCTAAAGTTGGAATAAAACCATATGAAAGAATTGCAAATTAAAAACAAAGCTTTTCATATTATAATAGAAAAATCTTCGAAAAAGAAAACCAAAAATAAAATCGAATTCTAAAATCGACAAAAGCCCTAATTTGAACGAACGCTAGAAATTGTCAACAATCCACAAAAAATATGCCTAGAAAAAAAATTAGGAATTACATCAAACATAAAAACAGGATAAATTGCACACTCAAAATTTAACACCATTAAAAATTTGACAATTGACCGTTAAAAATAGGGAGGTGTTTGACGTTTTCTATACATTAGAGGGTAAATGATACCGTTCATATAGTAACCAGGGGTGGAAAATGAGTTTTACCCAATTTTAAATGTTCATTCTTGTGTTTTTTTTTAATTTCAGTTAATCTTTTTTAAAATGTTATTTAAATACTTATTTAATTTTTATTGTTCTAATTTTATTGTTTTCGTTTTCACCTTTGGATCTCCAATTGGGCTGCATTGCCTCCAATTAATGGATCACTCGCTAACCCATATTTTCAAATGGACTATTCATTTTTGCTGGACCAAGTAATTGGTAAGGAAGTATGGCCCACTTGTCTTACAGATGTGATTTTTATTTATTTATTTAATTTAAATTATTAAATATATATTTTCCAATCGGTTCATTGTTTTACTTAAATAGAAAAGGTTTAAATTACGGTTAACCCTTGACGTTAGGTCAAATTAAAAAACTCTCTAATGTTTGGATGGTTACAACTTACAATATTAATTATAAATCTTTTTATATGTTTGTATTTGTGGTATCAGATTTAATGAAATCTTTTAAATTACGTTATTTACATTCTCTAGTTTGTACCTGTTTTATCCGATTTCAACTCCATATTTTGAACCAAGATTGTCATAAGATATATCTGTTAGCTTGTAAAATATTAGACTGTGGTTAATAAGAGACTGCATTTTTGCACAAAACGAGTACAAACTAGAGAACATTCCACGGAATCTATAATATTTTGTTGAATTTGACACCATCATATTGGATGTGTAAGAATATTCATAATTAAGAGGTGAGTGTAATTACCAAACAAAAGAAGATTTTTCGTAAATTGACCTTACCTCATGAGGTTGACCGTAATTTACCCAATAAAAATCGGGTCTTCAAGTACATTCCAGATATTTACAGTATTCGGTTTCTTTGTCTTCTATTTGAGAAGTTGATGATATATACGATAGTGGGAGAATTACACTTTTGGTCCCTTCATGTTTAGTTAATTTTTTTTGTTATTAAAAAAATAATTATAAGTAGTATTACCATATTTAAATTTTTTAATTATTTTCTAGCCCCAAAAAAATTTTAAATTTTCATTTTGGCATGGCATGTGACGACAACGATCGAAAGTGTTTAAAATTGAGCCTTCGAGGGGTGAACATTGTTTACATTGAAACAACAGGGACGAACAATGGAATCGAAATAACATGATGGGCCAAAAGTGTAATTTTACTTACAATAGTCGTGTAAATACTAAATACTAAAATAGTAAATACTCTAGCTTACACGCCTGAAGCTGCGATTTGATTGGACGAGACACGTTACGCATACTCCTCCGCACGTGCCACATTCCAGTTCGTCACTTCCATCGTCACTCAAAACGATTTGATTTTCATAACCCAGTTTTTAATTTCGCTTGCTGCCACATTTACTGTCTGAAAGATAAGGAAATATTAACCCTAATTAACATTAATTCTCGCTCTACTGTTTCTTGGGATTAATACAGTGAGAGATCCCTGTTTTAAAATCCCTCAAAAGGGCAAATAATAGCAAACCCCCAAATTTAAAAGAACAGAGATTTCTGCATAGCCCTAATTTTTTAGCCCCTTTTGAAATTAAGGGCAAATTTATTCATCTTAGAGAGAGAGAGGTAGAGAGAGAGAGAGAGAGAGAGAAGATGAATATATTCAGGCTAGCAGGGGATATGACCCATTTGGCTAGCGTTCTTGTTTTGCTCCTCAAGATTCACACTATTAAATCTTGCGCCGGTACGCAATTTTTTTTTCACATTTCTCTTTGTTTTTTTAATTGTTTTTGCTTTTCAAGATCTGTACAAGATTCGATTTTTTTGTTCATTTAGGAGATATGATTCTTGAATCTTGTCAATTCAGTTTTCTGCCCCCTTTTTTTTTTTTAAAAAAGAGAGTTTTAATACTCTATCCTTTTGTATGGGAATTTTGGCTATGTTTGGATACGTTTTGGGAGTTATTTTTATTTTATTTTGGGGAAATATGTTTTGAGAGGATAATTGGAGAATGATATTACTGTTTGTTTATAATTTGAAATGATAAAATATACACTGTAGTGGTCAAATCATGTTTAAATGAGTTAGGAAAATGTATTATAGAAGAAGAATTTGGAAAATAAAGCGATGTTTGTTGGTTATTTAGTGCTGACTGTAGCAGTCAAATCTTTTTAATGCAGTAGCTTTGAAGGGGAAAGAGAAATTTTAGAAGTTGTTTCGGGAATTTTTTTAACCTTTACATTGTTTGTTTGTGTGTTTGCCTTTCTATTATTTCACTTTTGAATAATGGATATATTTTTTTATGGTTGGGACCAAATTTGTTTTGATGGTAATTGAGGTTGTTGGGTTTTGAAGAAGGTTTAGTTGGCTTTCTATATAGGTGTTCGATAATTTCCTCGCCCTAGGTTCTTAGTTATAGCCTGAAACCGAGACGGAGATTTCGAATAAGTCTATAGATTTGCTTCAATGTAGATTGATTAAAAAAGAGCCAAGGTATGTGTTTCTGATAATCTGAAATAACCAACATACAAAGTTTCTGATTTCCGTCGATTTTGATCCAAAATTTTCCGATTTTGGAACAAGTTTTTTCGTTCCAATTTCCAAATTCCCGATTTTCGATTTTTTTGGAACGGAATTGGAACTAGTTTTTCACTTAAAAAATCGGATTTTTTCCGAAAGGGCTAATTCCGATTCGATCCGTCTAATTTACAACCCTAAGGGTGATAGACAATATAATCAAGTTCGTCAAATGGTTAGGGTTTTGGTTCCAACCCGTGATAAAAAAAAACAATATCCGGATTTTAAACGTATATGAAAGATATACAGGACAAACTCAGCCCTGTTATTACACAATCCTAAACCAATTTAATCTTGTCATGAAAGAGTTCATTTTTGCTGCTTTATGTTTTATTCCATCCTTACATTTTGAAGTTTCGTCGTATTTTCTTCTGAATCTTAGTTATTTTGTAATGATTCGACCCTTTTTTTTCAAGGCATTTCTCTGAAGACGCAAGAGCTTTACGCTCTTGTTTTCGCTACACGTTACTTGGATTTATTTATCAGCTACATCTCGCTGTACAACACTTTAATGAAATTAATATTTCTGGGAAGCTCTTTCTCGATTGTATGGTATATAAGGCGTCACAAGATCGTTCGTAGATCCTACGACAAAGACCAGGACACTTTTCGCCACTATTTCCTTATCTTACCGTGTTTGTTACTTGCCCTCATCATACACGAGAAGTTCACCTTTCGAGAGGTATTTTCTTATCCCATTAAAAAAAAAATTATATATTTTAAAATTTATTATCGGAATCGTTTTTTATATGTGTAATGTTTATAATGATTGATTAGGTTATGTGGACATTTTCCTTGTACCTAGAAGCTGTTGCCATACTTCCTCAACTGGTCTTACTACAGAGAACAAGGAATATCGACAATTTGACTGGGCAATACGTGTTGCTTCTTGGGTAATTTAATTTTTAATTATTTTTTTCTGTCTCGTATTTAACAAAATAAAAATCTTAGTACATTAGAGTTTTGTATGAATTGAGCTTTCGGTTTAGGGTGTGAACTGTGAAGTCAATTCATGAGTCGAGTTTTGGCTTTTTTTTGTAGCCAGACGTGCTCTTTTTTCGGGCTCCTATTAAATTCTCTCGATTTCGAAGATCGTTTTTCTAAATGTACTTATTAAGGATAGCAAATAAAAAAAATGCTTAATTTCATGGCATAAGTATCGAGTTTATTCTAACAGTTATTAATCAAGGTGTCGCAATAGGTAAAATCTATTCAGGCTTTTCGTGTAGGTGTCACGAGAAGTTTATCTTTCCTACAATTTATTTGTTAATACTGTGAGTTATTATATATCTAGCGGAATTCTATATGACATGGTTTTTTTTTCTTGCAGAGCATACCGTTCGTTATACATTTTGAACTGGATTTACCGCTACTTCACTCAACCACACTATGTCCACTGGATAAGTAAGTACTCTCTCTCTCTCTCTCTCTCTCTCTCTCTCTCTCTCTCTCTCTCAGTTTCTTTGTTTATGTATATATATATATATATATATATATATATATATATATATATATATGTATGTATATATATAT